CCTACATGTCAGTCTTGTTACTTATCAATGCCCTGCACCTCTCTAATGTATTTAAACTCCTAATTTGCTGCCCCTCAGGACGGCCAGTCCAGAACAATCCGCCAATTCCAGTTCACTGACTGGCCCGAGCAAGGAGTGCCAAAAACTGGAGAAGGCTTTATTGATTTCATCGGACAAGTGCACAAAACCAAGGAACAGTTCGGACAGGATGGACCAATCACTGTACACTGCAGGTAGGGAGGAAAAGTGGCACAGATTAACAAATCTGCAGGCATTAAGGAAGGCTGCTACTTCAGAGCTGCGTACATGTCTGCAAATGTTACCGTTTGAATTTTGATTATGTAGAAACAGAGTTCTTTCAATTCTCTGCAGTTTCAAATGGCATATAATCTGAGATAATGATGATGTATACCAAATCTCAGATTTCCTATCATTTTCTGCAATTCAATTTGATTCTTTAACACTTTTAAGATCAACTTGTGCTTGTTTATTACATTCTATGGTCATTTAGGATGCTGTAGTTTGTGGTGCCTTAGGTTTATTATTTATACAGTGCATTATAAGAACAAAAGTAACTGAAATAGGTATTATAATTCATGTCACATTTTCTCATAAAATCCTGGTCTGACTTTCTTATTCAGAGCAAACTGAATTTAGTTGCCAGTGTACAATAAGAGTTTATGAGCCCTTGAGAGGAGATGTAATACGGATTTGTGTGTGTGTGTGTGTGTGTGCGTGTGCTCCTCAGTGCTGGGGTGGGCAGGACCGGAGTCTTCATCACCCTCAGCATCGTGCTGGAGAGGATGAGGTACGAAGGAGTAGTCGACCTCTTCCAGACAGTGAAGACACTTCGCACCCAGCGGCCTGCCATGGTGCAGACCGAGGTAAGAACTGAGTGCCGACAGGGATATTGTTCATACATATCCCACAGTGACAGGATGGTATTCCAAAGTCAATATTGTATATTTTTACGGTGTAAAGATATTATCTGAAGCATCTTGTGACTTTTTTCTTTAATAAAGTTTTTAGAGGTGCTTCGGAAGTATCATAGCAAACTCATCAGGTGCTATCACAAAGGTTCAGTGTCATATTTTCCTCCAATTAACAATTGATGAATGCTTTGTAAAGCAAACAGGCAAAGCATCTTAAAAAGCAAATTAAACAAGATAGTCATGATGTGAATTTAAATGAGTTCTTAAACATTTTAAGAGACAAAAACACTGTTAAGTACTACAACTATAGTTATACAGAAGAGTCACTTTATTACATTGGTTCATATGGACAATCTGTACAGCATACGAGTCCCTCTATCCTTAGATACAACATTTATTTAACAGGGGGAAATGGTAGAAACCTCAGGAACAGTTCGTAATATTAAAATGACAGATATATGTGATATTCCAGACACTCATGCAGATTTTCTTATGGAGGTTTCTTCTTCTTCTCTCCAGGACCAGTACCAGTTGTGCTACAGGGCAGCATTGGAGTACCTGGGGAGCTTTGACCACTATGCAACATAACCACTCCCACCGAGCAACCCCCCTGGTCAAACCTCTCAGGAGTGTGCCAAGTGTCCCATCTCAGCCACCATCCATTCACTTGACCCCCTTAAAAATCCAACCCCTCGCAGCTACCGTAGGGGAGGAGAAAGGGACGCGCTTGCAGACCCGGCGACGGGTTCAACCAATCACAGAGATCCACGCCGACCTAACCAACCACATGAGATTTTGCTTTAAAGATAATAACAGAAACATTACAATGACTAAGACAAATGCGACAACTCTTGTACAGATGCGACAGCGCAGACCGGCAGCTCGCCTCTCTGCTCTGTCGAAGCCAAACCTCCCTGATTGTCAAAGGCTACTGGTAGCACTAAGAGAGCATTCTCTCTGTTTTTATGTTAATTTTATTGTCAATATTATGATTCATTATGTCACATGTTATTGTTTAGTGTATTTGTTGTTTTTATTAATCATTTTAACATCAGACATTTCTTCTGTCTTAAACTGCCCAGCCTGGGGCGTGCATTATTTTCATAAGTTTTTTATTTTTATTTTAGGGTACTTTAGCACAAGGGACATGTATTTTTAACACGTTCCTAGATACTAATACAGGAGGACCACTGTTCTCTGAGCTGCTGTCAGATTTTTTTTTCATTATCGTTTTATTCATATTATGTCTCATAAACATGGTTTTGGTCTTGTTCAGTTCAATAACTCAAAAAATTGCCTTTTCACTTGCCGTTTTCGATTTTTAAAAAAACAAATCTTTGAGAAAATTGATTTCAGAGCACACACTTGATAAAGTTTGTCCTTCTGTAAACATGGTAGCTAGTTATAAAACAAAAAAGTAAATTAGCTAACTAAGACTAAATCAGAGGTGTACAGGAATGGAAAGCACATGATTTCTACGTTTTTTGTTTGGTTTTGTCTTTCATCAGAAGCCTATGGCATTGAGGCCTTCATACTCCACAGCGGAGAACTTACCTGAGGAAAACAGACTTTTATACCCAAAGGGTAGTTGACAGAAAATAAACTCCCCGATCTCTGAATATTGTTGCTCTTCAAGTCCCTCCCATCTCCTCACTGCCCATTAGCCCGGTCGGTTCACTGGAGTTGAACCACACAGACCGAAAGGAGCGGAAGTGGTTCGTATGGGCTGAGGAGTAGAGCCATGAACGCTGGCACCTGTACAGAATCAACCATTCCTACCAGAGGGAAAGAGACTCAGCCCTTTGGACTGAAACCTGATATTATTTTATACAGAAATAGAACTATAAATATATATATAATTATGATTGATTATATATATGTACAATTACACATAGATATATACACAGCTTCAAAGGTATATTGTTAAAAAGGATTAATTCTGCTGATCTACCAACCCTAGAGACTGCAGAGAGCCTGCTGTCCTAGAGTGTGTATTAATGGAAACACCGTTGTATCTACTGTACTACCATAGTAACTTTGACAGCTGGTTGTCCGTCTGAATGAGGAAAAAACAGCACAAACCCCCCCCCCACCCCAACCCCACCCATCAATATGGACGACTCCTCACTCAGCACGGGCCATCGCACCACTCAAGCACACATCTCCTCCCACACAAGCCGCAGGAGGGGAACGTCTGATCCGAGAGGCCTAAATGTTGTGGTGGCGGTGGCGGAGGCGGCGGCGGCGGCGGTGGGAGGGAGGGGGGACTTGAAAATGCTGGCGAAAAACTAAAAATGTTCATTTTTACCTTGTGAATGCTTAGTGCTGTAGGGGTTCGATCTGTTGTACACACAGTCTGTTTTCTATTTGTTGATAAAGAACTGGAATTTAAAAAGAAACTGTTGATGAAAAAGAAAAAACATTGATGTTAATAAAGTTAAATAATTGGGTTTTTGTACAAATCCTGGCTTGTGGCGCTTCGTTTCTTGATCCTGTTGTTTAGGAAAATGTGAATTGTTAAAACTGTGTCTGCTTTATCTCCCAGTGCCAGGAATGTTGTAGTTTTAGTTCATAATCATTTGTCCTTTATTTCAAGGCATTTCTAAATGGCACCTTGTTTCAATGATTCTACTGAATGTTCAGGTACCTGAAAGTGTGTGTGTACAGGGGTGTAGCCAGGTATTCTGAAAGATATACACCACCTTATATATTCTTGAAAAGCCCCCAAAAACCAATTTTATTAATCAGCTTCTTACTGTAAGCGATGGAGTCTGACATGAACACTTAACTCAAGGTCCCCTTACTAGCTTTTTCCAGGGATTTCTACCATATCTCACAGTCTTTGACAACAGATGGAACAAGTTTTTCTTTTTCACGGCGTTAGCTCACTAAATTATTTCATTAATGTCGGATATTTTCTGCATTTGTGTTTTTTGTCTGCTTTGAAGTGGCCAGGGTTTGGCTGGGTTGTTTGCCTATGTTGCCATGGAGACAACACTTAAATCATCACAGTCTGACGAAGCAGATAAACTGGGATTAGTATGTCCAAAATCACACTTTATTCACTAAATTGTGCTAAATAATTTTATTCAAATGTCAGAATTGAATCGTCCTAAGTCCCGCCCCTATTTCCTCTGTGCTCCAATAACAGTTGAGCCAGTGGCTAACTAGCTAACTAATCTACATTAATCTTTAGTTAGCTGGTTATATCTGACAGGTAATGTGAGCAAAATGCTAGATAGCCAATTCTCGCTGTGTATAACTTGAACTTTATAGGGAAAAGCAATCATATATATATATATATATATATATATATATATATATACTGCCAATGCATCAATGCAAAGCACCTTATTTTGTGGATGGAAAAATTACAGTCATACAACACTACAGCTGTCAGTGATGATGACATCTCAATGTATCGCTGTAGAGTTAAATACTGTTTTTTTTATTATATAGTGATATGAGTGAATGAGAGAGAGTTTAAGGACAGAATATAAACAGTTGTTGGGTTTCCATGGAGACGCCACTGTCATCAAAATCAAAACCACACGTACACAGCAGATTTGTTGGGGGGTTTTTTTTACTCTTAAACTCGTATAATAGCTGAAAGATGATTTTAGTTAATTTTAACTTTGTTGCTTCTTTAGTCAAATATTTAATCTCACTGATAATCTAATTTATCAGTTTATTTGGTGGGCCTTTTTTTTCACCCCATCAGCCATTGTGCTCTTTCTACATGTCTCGGTATGTATGTACAGATATGTATACTGTGTGATGAATATTTGACCAAAGAAGCAACAAAGTTAGTTATATTAACTGTGTATAAATATAGTTGACGTGGCCATATCTCCTTTTTTAACATATATTTGTGGAATGCTGCTTGTAGCATTTTATGAACGTGTTGTTTTATATCCCACAGAACCAACTGACATCATTGTGTTTGTATGAATGCGTTTGTGTCCAGGTGCATGTTTTTCTTCATTCACTAGTATTAACTCTATCTGTCTTGCTGCTCTTTTATTTAACTAAGAAACACTCTGTGACCTGTTATTCTTAGGAGATACCATGAGTTATCCAATGGGGTAAGGAAATGAGAAAACATATGGTTGACTAATCTACGTTGCATTATATTATGATGCTGAGCTATGTGTTCTTGTAGAGATGATGCACAATCTGCCCAAGATGAAGAAGACCGTGAAGGTGAGTTGCTCTGCTTGAAGATCAAAGCCCAGTTGGAGGATTTGTTCTCCGACAGCCACCTGGCAGAGGACGGCTTCCTGCTGAAACACGTGCAGAAGAACAAACAGGGCTACGTCAGTCTCAAGCTCCTCACTTGTATGAAAAAGGTAAAACAAAGCAAAACTTTGTGTACTTTCTGTGGTGTTTACATTCCATCAGTTTGAATAAAAACAATCCAGTAAAGTGCAAACAAAGCTGAGTTTGCCACTGTTTGTCACAGATAAAGGCCCTGACCACAAACTGGTACATGACTCTGGCGGCAGCAGAGTACTCAAACGTTGTGGAGGTGAATGATGAATGCACAAAAGTGAGGCGGATAAAGCCACTTCCCAAATGGCTGCTATGCTCTCCCACAAGCAAGCTCCTTCTCACCTGGAACATTTGTGATGAGGAAGCCGAAGAAGATGGAGCAGCCCGAGGCCTGGAGCACCCTTCAATCTTCGAGAACCTCCTCGAGAAGTTTTCTGCTCATGGCTGCGTTGCCTCATTCTGGATCCTGCATCCTGGCAAAGAGCTTCCCAAGGAGCTGCAGTGCTACGCCAAGCGTCACAAAGAGCTCGGCCAACATTTGTGTGCAGTGGTGAAGTTTGATCATCTGGAGGCAGTTCGGAAGGCTTACAGTCGTCTGAAAGAAGAAGAGGCGAAGTCGAACGGGGAGGGCATATGTGTGGTGCCTTTGGGATTCCAGTCGATGCACCACAACACCGAGGACGAACCATCAGAGGGAAACAACAAGGACCAACCTGAAACATCCCAGGAAAATCCACTTGAAACCTCAGAGGATTCAATCCAGGAGGAACCCTCTTCACCAGCTAAAGAATCTATTGAGACTCAAGACACATCTCAGCCCCAAGAGTCTGTGGATAACTCCAAAGAGACTTCTGAGCAGATCTCCACCAGCGGTTGTGGCCAGTCCTTCTCTGGTTTGAATCAGAGGTATGGTAGGAGGAGTTGGTGCTCTGGAGACTGTGATAAAGATAATTCTCAGAGCCCCTGGGTGCTCAGGCGCAAATTTGCGGCCAGTATATTAAACCCCAAGGTGGCCGGGGACCTGAATGCGCCCTGCTTGATGCAAAGAGTGCTGCGTCAGCCCTTCGGTCCTGACAGCACCAAAGGCTTTCAGGACAGAGGGAAGCCGCTGCAGCAGGAACTGATCAAACTCTCCCTTGCATTGAGTAATACCACCTGTGCTGAATAACAGTGGCAGATTTGTGGAGCAACAACACATTACAACAATTTTAAAGCTGAGGAATCTAATAAAATATTTTTTGTATAAAAAAACTAAAAAGCTATTTAAGTTTTGGTATCTCTATATGTGAGAGATTGTTTATTCTGACTTACGTGTAGTTGTAAACCACTGACAGCTGGGGGCAGCATTTAGCTGTGTTCACAAATCTGTTATTTTAAACACTGACTTCATCCTACTTGTCAAGGTGTAGTTGCGTAGGAAGTGAATACACTGCAATGAATGTAAATAGACTACAGCACATATTAGCTGGAGGTACAAATTGTTACACAAACTGAGGTGTTTAAGTGCTGAAGTAAAAGTGTCTCACAATCCACACAGGCACTTCTTGAAAACACCAGCGGTCACTGCTCGCCTGGGGCCTCATCTCCTCTGGTCACAACTGCAAATTGCAATGTATATTTGTTCTTGGGCCTGGATGGATTTACCTTGTTACCATTTTCTCAGAGAAAGAGGTGTTGTCTTTCAACATGAAACGCTCAGAAAAAGCCCTCATTGTCCCACTGCATCTTTTTCACAAATGCTTGTTTAGATTTTGGTTCTCTAAAAAGTAGTTTTCCACTCACTGAGATGACATTTGGCTGAAGGGTACTTGTCCAATCATCAAACCACATCTTGTGCAAGACGAGCGTAGTAGCAACATTTGTGCCTTATTTCCAGCCTTTCTAATGACACCTCAACTGGAATGGTGTGTTTATAGTGTTACTGATTGAGGGCTTCCTTAAAATCTTGCCCAGACCTAAACAAAATGTGTTTCTTCACTCATCCACGCCCAGTGGAAAAGATTCAATACGATGTGTATGGGATTCTATCATATTCAAATTGGAAACATTCTTTGTTGTTTTTTTCCCTTGTATATGCTAAATGTCAGACTGTCTTCGTGACTAATGTAATCTTAGCTGTTGAGTGAGACTTTGCAGTGTATACGGATCAAGTGTTCAACCCTTATTGTCTCTGACTTGATTTAGCAATTAACAGCTGTTGGGCTTTTATTGCAGCGGAGGCTGGTCTATGAAAACTTTACACATCTGTGAACAATATGTATAATGTAGAAATGTTCCTGCCTGATGTCAGGAAATGTTTTTGTGCTGATAGTTCCTTTTCAAGGGCAGAAAAGCACGATATCCCCCGCTAACTGCAAGCCATTATGTATTTAGATAGCCTCCTCTAGCCCATAATTGAGGTTTATGTCAAACAAGTCAATTGTCATAATTCTCATGAGGATCTGGATGATTTTGCACCTGCTTACTGTCACCAAAATATTCTCAGAGTGAAGAAGAGCACGAATCCTCTCTTGATTTGTGGCACAGTGTTATCCTATGGGCCAGTGCTGAGGGGTGCAAGCTGTAGTGAAAAGGAGAGTTTGTGTTGGATTTCACTTTGGACTTTGAATGAAATCTACCCTTTAGGTCACTGAGATAACAACCTTAGAATATCCATTAATACACATTTTTGGTATGAGACAAAGCTTGGGTAAAGATTCCTTTGGTTTTCCCTTTTTCTCTTGGTCAACACTGAAGGAATTTTAAGTCCTAGAAAGTTAGCACTTGGCCACATCTCCGCCTCACTAGTGGAACTTTGCAGAGCGCGATTTGTGTATAATTTGGCTCGAGGATATCAGAATGACTCATGGTGTTAAGAATGAGATATTTGTTAGCAAATAATTTGTTTCCTGTTGTTACACTGACTGTGTAGAGATTATTGCAACATCCTTGGCTGCAGACACAATTATAACACCATCAAATCTGTTCAGATCTACCTGCAGATTTATTTGACTGGTTTATGCTCTCAAACAGCACCTGTGAAACCGTGTATCTCCCTCATCTCTCCCTCCTGCATGCATCGCTTCATTCGTCTCCAAACTGGTTGGCCTTTGTTTATGTGTGACTGACCCCACACACCTGACGCATTTCCTCCCTGGATAGGATATTTATTTACATTGCAGTCTGGAGTGCCTGATACCTTCCAAAAGAACAACCATCTGCTCCTCATTTGCCGCTCAGGGCTCAAGGGCTAAAACACTGGTTTGTATTGGAGGAGACGTGAACGTGAGATTCTCAACAACAACACTCCTGGTTTTATCTCCAGCCAACTGTAGATTGAATTATCATGAAATACCTCTGCTGTGATAATTCCATTTAACTGGGGTTAGTGCTGTCTTAGCACCATTTAAACCAATTGTAAACTTTCTTAATTCCCCCTAAAAGATTGAAAGATTGAAAGACCCCTCTAACTGCGCTGATCTGCCCAATTGAGGCTATTATCAATCGGCCACTTAAGATGGCAGACTCTCTTGCGGCAGAAGGTAAATGTAAGCCTTTGCTCAGGCCAAAGCATCCTTTAGTGCTCCTGGAGCTAGAGCCAGTGAGATTATCATGTCAGGAGTAATCCGACTCGGCCCACAAGCACAACTATGGAGGAGGAGGAGCAACAGTTGAGGGGGGGAGGCAGGCAGAGGCATCAGAGAAGCTCTCTGCTCCGCTTACGGTAACCACGCTCTCCCTTCTCACCCTAACCCATCTTCTCAACCCACAGAGTTCCCTTCCTTGGAACTGAAGAGAAGACCTGCTTCTGGAAAGAGGGTAAGGAGATATGGATTATCTTTCCAACAGTGCTCTTGTATGGAGATAAGGACTTTCACAGCAGATGGAGTTAAAGTTAAGGCATCTATAAGATTTGTTTCCTACATGACACTGTGCCTCTGTTTTGCTCTGTTCCTCTGTTTCAGGTTTGGGTTTGTGCAAAAACGGGAGACCAGACATTTTGTGTGGAGAAGCATGATGACAGAAGTTTTCTGAAGTGAACCAGATGCCATGTCAGGAACTTATCTAAACACACAGCGGTCCTCTTTTTGAATGGATCAGCAATGAAGAGCATGCTTACATTCAGAGGAATGTTGATATTGATCTTTGCACCTTTTCAGAGTTCTATGGAAGTGCAACAATGATGAATAAATAGAACAGCCTGGACTTGAATCAAGTCAGGACACCTTCCTTACTTGCAAACACAAGGAGTTGTGATGATTTTCAGAGGAACAAGCAGGAGTCCTGCCTTCACTCCTTGCCTGTGATGATGATGGACTTATCCAGCCAGCACTTGCCTGTGGAGGTCAGCTGAAGACGACGCCACACAGCTAAGTCTGGATTAGCCGGCCGAACGGTAAGGACACCACATCTTCTTTTGTTAGTTTAAGCTGGCAGCTTATGGGGAAGGCGTTAGGTGCCGCTGACAGAGATGCCTCACCAAGTGCTTGAGTGGCAGAAAACACACGTTGGATTATCGGTATCAACAAGCGGCCCTTGCTGCATCCCCATGTCAATAGTGCACAGGGACCTGTCACGAAATGATTGCAGAGCAGTTACCATTGATTACAAGGGGCATGCCACTAGCAACAAGAAAAAGAATCATTTTTACATTCTTGCAGAATTTGAAAAGCCTCTCACCACACAGTCAAGTTTGTTTTGTCAGGGAGAAATATTTTGTTTTCCTGTCACTTATCCAACATGGTGGTTTGCCTCATTATCATGCATAATTTTCCTCCAAAAACTCTCTGGCTTTCCTTTCCCAAAAGTCGGAGCGATACTTAGAAATTTTACAAAACAGATAGATAATTATTTTTTCTCTATGTTCATTGTTTTAGAGAGCTTCATTTTTTGCAGAGCTGCGCCTTTAATAGGTTATATAATTAAGAAGAGCTGGATGAAATTATCTAAAATTATACTCTGAATGAAGCAAACTTGATAATACTCACCATGGGCATTTTACTGAAGTGATGATCCCTTCTCACTAAGCCCATATCATACGTAGAGATTATACAGTATCTAGCAGAGCCCCAAGAGGCCGGATAGAGGTTAAGCTTGAAGTCAATTGAGCCGTTCAACTTTCATAACCTGCCAAAGCTGGTCATAACTGGAGGAAACTAAGGCGGAAGCTTAACTGACGCACAAGTCGTCATCGTTGCCTTAGCACTTTTTGACAGATTCTTGCTAAAATATACATTGTGCATGCAAATAATTAAAGTAAAACAAATTAAAGACTTTTGAAGCGAGCATAGGCTTATAAAGATGTAAAATGTCATCATATTTCAGATGTTTGTACTTGCTTGTGCTTGCTCACGCCGGTCATATTTGAAAGTGGTATTCAGCATGTGCCAGATGGCCGTCAACCCTTTTGAAACAGCAACATCAACATGTTTAACATGGGTTTAGAGGCGATGCTGTTCTGTTAAAAGAGGATCTAGCATTGACAGATTAGCAGCCAGAATAGCAGCTCATGGACTCTTCAATAGAAAGTAGCCAAGACAACATCAATCTTACTCACAGCTCACACAGAAATGACGAGCCAAAGTGACATTTCCTGCCAAGCCTCATGTAACCTCTTTGTTAGTGAAGCTATTTAAATGCATGTCAGAACTACATATCTTGACTCAACTCTTCTCGTAATAGAAAGGGGCACACAAATTGGGACAGGTGTCGATTGTGCATCTATAAGTGTATCTTCCACTCACACCTCATTAACGCCACCCTAGCAGCAACAGGTTTGAGTTGTGAGATTTCGTGCTAGGCTGTTCGGTCACTGGATTAATCTGTATAAATCCGTGGGATGTGATAGTAGGGCTTCCAAAATTGAAATCTTTTCAAACACTCACCTATATCCAGTGGATTAAAAGAATGCAGGAATCATGTTTGGTATTTATAGAATGAATGTAAAAAATTATCACCATTTTTCACTCTTGCCCACAGATGTTTTCCCTTTATTTCTTCTCAATAATAAACGGCAGCTTTCCCACTAACAAGGAGCAGGCTTGTTTTAATTATCCTATGGTTACTGAGTGACAGAGTGCAAGCCAACTGAAGCCATTGCCCAGCAAAATTACAGCACAGTCTAACCTAAGCCTTTTTCAGTTGCATTAGAACCAAGGCTGGATTTAGAACAGCCAATCCTGGCTCAGAACATCCACTTTATTTTACAGCCTTTTGGCCCACCCTGGTGCCAACACACCAGATCTAACTTAACTGAGCTTGTCACTTTTCTTCTTCATTATTCTGACTGAAAGCAGGACAGGTTTTAGAAGGAGAAGGAGAAGAAGAAACGCCGGCTGGTGCTCTCTCGTTGGGCCTTGCATGCTGGCCTAACCCTTGAGTTAGAGGTGTCTGATGGATTAACACAGACGCACACACACATACAGCAAGGCCTGGGCTCCGCCACCAACACTGCAGCCAGGTGTTAACCCACGTGACTGCAGATAAAGCCGGCAGGCATTAGTGCTAATCCCGCCCTGATCTTTGGAATATGTCCCTATTACCTCCCCAAGCACTCTCTAGCTGTCCCCAGGCCTCCTGATGCTCACTTAAGAGGGAAAAGACAAGACAATGCCTCTCTAGGACTCCCTAAAGCATGTTGTTTCCTTGCAACAACACAGTAGGTGCCTTTCCCGCTGTTTGTTATGCTCCTCTGTTATCTTTTCAATGCAAGTATTTATGGGGTGTGTTCAGAGTAGCGCAGAGACAGCCAGTCACATGGGTGGAGCTGAGCTGGAACACACAGCGTGGTAATAATGTTCTGTAGGTAAAGGGCCTCAGGTTGTGCAGCAGCAAGTACACAATGGTTAGACAATTCTAGGTATCAAGAAGCAGCAGTATTATGTAAGATGGATTATCTAGTGTTATGTGATGGTGCTGCTGGGAGTGTGTGCGTGTCCTGGAAATGAAGTGGGTGTCTGTGGACGGCAATGGAAGGTTAGACCTTGTCTCGATTTCTACACAAGCGCGTGTCATATGATTTGGGAAAAGTGAAACCATGCTGCAAGTGCTACATCTGTGTGTTTATGGTATGTGTGAGTCACAGTAAAGAGAGAGTGAGTGAGACAGTACAGGCTGTATTTAGGGAATGTATAGGAACAAATTCGGAGTGGTGACACATTAAAGTTGGTATCTGCTTTTTTCCAGCACAAAGAAGCTCTTCATTCCTTTTCTGTGATCTACTCTCGTTGCAATCATGTCACACTGTTCAAGATCCAAGCAAGCTGACAAAGAAGGCACCCCCTGTCTGCCGGCTTCATTCAAAAGTTTTAACCACAGACGCCCCTTATCCCCATTTTGACAGATCTCTAGTTCATCTTCCATAGGCTGTCGCATTCTGTGGAGTGTCTCCTTCTGGCATGGGAGGGAGGGGAGGACACTAGTGCCATGCTGCTGTAATTACATTACTGCCAGCTTAGCAGCGCCATGGCCACTGACCCAATTATTCCTTGAAAACATCTATTTTATTGTGTCATTTGAAATAATGCGATCTTTGAGTCACAACAAGAGCTCGGTTGAGGGTTGAGGATCGGGCTCCAATGTACGATGCATGCATTGGAGAATGCATAATGTCTCAGGAATGGCTTTGACAGACTGAAGAATTCTTGGCCTAGCAGATCACTTTCATGGTTTGCCTCAAACATGTTAATGATCCTCTGGGACTGTTTTCACTCTGCTCTTCAGGTGACATATGTCTGACAGCAAACATCAAGTGGGCTATTTCTTTACATACCTCGTATTCAGTCCAAGTATCACTACAAACACAAAATCCTAATGAGAACTTTCATGCGCGCAAACTTTCGTTTGCACTCCTTTTCTCCTTTTGAATGGATAATTGTATGTGTTTGTTTTGGGCCTCACACATTCAACTTGCCTTATCTCGGAGCGTGCATGGGCACATCAGCGCTGATGCTTTGTGAGGGCCGGACATGCTGCGCCTGTGTGGGAGCTGTTTTAGTTGTCTTTGCAACTCATCTGCACTTTTATGTCTCTGTTTGAGGATGGCTTTTCCTTCTGCTGGAAAGTCCTCTGGGGTTTCACTATATCCTCTGCGTTGTTGCTCTTCTGTGTTTGCTGGAAAACAGCAGCACTTGTCCTTTCAGGAAGTGGACCGCTCATTCATGTCTTTCCGTTGCTCTCCTAAGAAAACACCGGTGCCCCTTCCCCCTATCAATATCTGTATATTTATGTGCTTGACAGCGGAGGCCAGTGGTAGATATTAAATGTCTGTTCTGATTAATCATCCGTGGCCATCTGAACAAGCTGCAAAATGCTCCCTGGCACTTTTATTGGCGTCAATCGACTGCAGATGGGACTAATGTGTTTCTGAGTGGAGCAATTATGACAATCAAAGTGTCTTCAGGGACATGAGATCAGTGTTTGATGACCAGGCTTCATCCAGTGTCAGCAACTGAGACATCGGAGGACTCATCTGTTTTTTACGAGCTAATTGTTTTATCAAGATGAGCCACAGAGCGAACAGTCTACAGGCATTGATGTATCCCGGCTGTGTGAAAAAGCAAACTCCGAAGCTGAGTAATTGTCCCAAACTGACCTATTAATAGCATACGAAAACAATGATCTCATCCTTTGCCATATATCATAACAAACTGGCTCTTTTTAAATTAAAAAATGTATCACATTTAGAGCAGGAGTGGTAAGATGGTGTTAGGAGTTGGTGTTGAACCAACAAAATGAGACTTTCCATTGAGGCTTCTATCTATCATGTCTGGTGAAATTCAGACATATAGCCAGGCACCAAGTAGCATTCTGCAGCAGCCACAGCTCCACATTTGATTTACATACACTGTGTCAAATGAGGTTGTTAGCTGAAATGTTTGACTTTCAAATGAATACCATTCTACCCCTTCATTGTGCAGAGGCTGCTTACCACGTCAAACCCATATGGAATTATGAGTGATGAGTCAAGCTTTGACTGATAGGACTGGTTCTACCTGTTTATACCCTGTTTATTCTACTGCAACTCATGCATACAGCTTATTTGTATTTTCCCTCTGCTGTGTCTAAAACACAGAGGCAGTGTCTATATTTGCATATAGCGCTTTTTTGTTTTACTTAGTTCACTGCAAAAAGCACAGAAAAAGCCAAAATGTTCTTACTTTTTTACTATTTTTCATAAATTTCTGTGTTAAATGTTATACGCGGGAGTAACGCACATTCTGAAAGTGCAAACTTCCAGAAGTTATTCATTTCAGAAATTTGTTATTCTACTGGAGTAGACAAAGATATGTGACATTTTGTCCCATTGTAAACACTCCAGCAGCCTGTATATGTACACTACAGAATCCAGTCTGGGAAAACACTTTGTAAGGCTGGTCTGGATTTGCTGTTAGTCACTGCCAGTATACCATTTCCGGCTCTGGGGAAATGTTTTGCTCACTGGTGACATGATATGAAAAATACAAAGACGGGAACTTGTAAAAACTCTCAAATACCTATGGCATTACATTAAGGAAAGCAAAAAAATGAGGTATAATTCCTCCAAACTAAGATTTGTGGCTGCTATGGTACAGTGTCTATTGAAAGGGAGGGGCGGTATAAAGGGATGTACACACATGTTCACTGAAGCCTCATTATACATATCATTACAAATAGGTGTGGTTGAAGAAATTCTTGTAAAGGAAGGAATGGATCATTTACTTCTGCAAAGAAAAGTGTTTTTTCCTTCAGAAATGAATAGAAGAAGCTTATATTCTCACCCACATCAGGTATTTTTGATGTGTTACACAAACTTTTAAGAGGTTTCAAGGGGCAGGGGTTGTAAAACTCATCTGACCTGCCTTAAGTTCAAATAAGAACTGGCAGTTATGTTTTTCCTTTTCAGCCAGGAGCGATTAAATACACACTGAATTCTCAGGTGTCAGCAAGTGATGTCAAGCTCACAGATCATGAACCCACTTAAAGTTAAAATGAAATGACAGCAGAATCCCAAAAAAGAAAACTGACGGTTAAATAAAAGCCCTGTTGAGAGAAGTGGAATCATGGGAGGGTCAAAGATATGTACTGGCACGGCAGATAAAAAGTTTTGCATTGTTCTCTGTGCTTTAATGTGACAAGTTGAGAAGATGGTTTACATGTTTGAATGTGTTACTGAACATGTCTGACGTTTGTCTGTTTTGCCTCTTTCGACAGAGTTTCAATGCTCCTCCACGTTCTAAGATGAAGTTATGGAAAGGTGCTACTTTTGCCTTCTTGCTCTGTGGTGCAGCCCTGTCCATCCTCCTCATTAGAAACATGGCCACTATCGGACAGTTCAGACCTAAAACGAAATATCCGTACGCATCTTCATCCTCATTGATGCAGTCTTCATCATCAGAATCAACATCCAAGACCTCGCCGCAATCCCCCTCATCGTCACCATCATCATCAGCAGAATCAACAGTGTTGTCCAGGCAGATGGGTCTTCATCGGAGAACACGCTCAGCAGATGAGATGAACTCTCTTCTCTCAGAGTGTAAGATAAAATGAGTTATTGTCCTCTTTCCTTGTCTGGTCTGAGATAAGGGGTCGTGTGAAAGGGTTGCTGGGGTTCAGACAGAACACTTAGTACCCGACTGTTGTTTATAGAGCAGGTTTTAATGTCTCACCATAACCTGCAGTCAATTAGCACCTCATAGTTCACTGGCTCTCCATAGAACCACTATAATGCTTAAGAGCAGATCAAATACCCACTTTCCTTTTGTTCCACATGGCCTCCCTGAGAGGCATTCTTCAACCTAAATGGGTTTTAAGGAATTCTGACACGGTCTTTGGTACCGATGGTGATAAGACTGTTTTTTTGTTGTCATGATGTCAGATGAAATAAACTTGTGCTCATCTGTTTGCACATAACTTTGTTACACATATTCTCTATGTGAGCCATTTTCCCTGTTTCCTATTACTACTATCGGATTACACAAAATTCAGATAATCACTATAGCTGTCTGCAGGTGTTCATTTATCTCCTCTTTGTCAGTTTCCATGATGTTCCAGAGCTTCACAGAGGGCGAGCTTCAGCATGTGGTTGGGACCTTGCTCGACAGGAAGAGGAGGAAGAGCCGGCGCCTGGGTGAGAAGCAGGCCCGAAGGACTAAAAGAGCCCAGAGGCCTAAGCCCTGCTCCTTGAGGAAACTGCAGCTGACTGTGAGTGAACTGGGTCTCGGTTATGACAGTAATGAGACGGTGCTGCTGCGCTATTGCAGTGGCAAATGCGAGGACCAACACCGGCAAAACTACGACGTCATCATGAAGTACATGATGCGGACGGGCTTCAGGAAGAAGGGCCGCAAGGACAAGGTTAGCAACGGGCCCTGCTGCCGGCCCACCTCCTTCGAAAAGGACTTTTCCTTCCTGGGCAACAACAATCGCTATTACACGGTACAGAATGTGTCGGCGAAGAACTGCGGGTGTGTATGACCCAGAGAAATGGACTTATAACTTCTTCTTGCTGCTCTCAGCCTCTGTTGGAACAGTGGGTGCTGTTAAAAGACAAACTGTGGAATATAAACTGAAGGAAGGAAGAAAAGGATGGGAATATTTTTACAGGCTGCTCCACGGCGGCCTTTTTGTGACAGGCAAACTTCACTTTTTTTGGCGTCTGTCAATACAAATTGGAACCAAATCACATGGACAGCGAGTGCTGCGTTTTTGTGGATTCCATGTAAAGAGACACAGAGAATGACTGTTCATACCAAAAAGTTTTTATTATCTTTTCTATCTGTGTAGTAACACTGTAAACTGTGGTGTAACAACAATGTAGCAACATTATGTTTGTGATATTGCATTTGAGTAGTAGTACATGCGATAGATGAGCCATGGTGGACTAGATTATTGCTGTTACTACACTTCATATCCATGGGCGTTAACGTCTATAAGTCCAAATCTTGTAGTTTACAGGGTTATAATGGTGACAGTAAATCACCTATCAGGCAAAAAAAGTGCTCAAAAACCCATTTCAAAGCCATAAATAAAAATTAAAATACATGTAATGTACCGATGTTTACTTTCTGCATAAGACAGTTTGATGAAAATGATAAGTGATCAGCTGTCTCTGTAAAGTACATTGACTTAAAGGTGTGTTGAGTTATCACAGGTGACATGACTTCTTGACCTGTTTCCCTGCTTGTACGCATTACTGTTACTGATTGCAGTGTTATTACACAGGTAAAAGAACATGTGTTATGGTTAAGAATTTGACAATGAAAGAAAATCCTTTTATATAGCTCCAGATTTGATACCCACCTTTAATTGTTGTGTTTTGTATATCGATGTTGTGTAGATTAACAATGAGGACCTGTTTCAAAACACACAAATACTCTCTCATGATAGTAATAGAACAACATGAAAATGTATCCCACCTGCTCTCCATAGAATAAGTCATCACACTCAAAGAAATGATCATCTTTTTTTATACTTTCCCCAAATAACCCAGTATTCTAATTACCCATAATCCTCTGGAATTATTTTCCTCAAAGAATTGCCAAAACACACCGAGTCAATTCAACACACATGATGAATTCATTAACTTAGATTCATAAACATCTCAAGTTCCAGTTGATATAACCTCTTTATTATCGTCTCTGGTTGTAATTTCTGAGCGTTTATACTCAGAACTTTAGCTAATCTGAGGTGTGAAAGGGAAGAATGCTTTAATGATCAGTAATGGCATTATTTTTTCTTCCTCCACAGACAGAAAACTAACTATGAAGTAGAGTCAGGATCTGGAAATGTGTTTTCACCCATCCATAAAAACCTGTAACTTACTATGATCCAAAGCCCACAGTACAGCCTTGTATTGGCCCATCAAATGCCTCCTTGTTGTATTGCCTGGTAGAGTTTTAGCAGAATATAAGCTGTTGAAATGAATTATGAAACATGTTTTTCACCTTCGACAATCTTTATTTGGTTTGAACCCATTGCAACTGTTTGCCTGAAGTACAATAAATTATGTTTTTGTTTCTGTTTTTCCTGAGGAGGTGCAGTGTGGGGCGTGGATGCGGTGCATCTTTATTGTAGTTTTATATTGTATTTATTTGGGAAATAAATTATGTTTTTTTGCATATTTATTTAGATTACCACACAGAAACGGGACAGCTTATTATCATTAAGCAACTGTGCCAAAAAATGTTTTATCTAACATTCTATATTGACTGCTGAATAAACATAATTTCAGAGGTTTGGATGTTCATCATTTCTCCCAAACTATCCATCTTTGGGTGTCAAATACTCTGTACTGATTGTATTTAAAATACATAAATAAAAGAATAAAAGTCTTATAATGCAAGATGCTGTTGATAATGAAATAAATGACTATGAGAAGGGGATCCCTGTGCGAAAAGTTGACGATCAGATTACATTATAATAAACCATATGGCAGATAAAAACACAACACCTTTGTCACGCTAACATGTGAACATTTGAATAATGCTGGCTCACTTAGTCAGGTTCTCTGGAATTACCTATTATACAGCAGCTCAGCAGCCCGTGTACTGAAAGGCAGTGATGATATAAGCTTATACAGACAGACCAGACAGTTTGACAGGAAGAAAAATCGACGGGGATTTGACTGTGACAGCTTCTCATTTCAAATTATTGACAGAAACAGGCTCTTCTCTGTCACCTGAATATTAGGATACGATTGTAATATTCTTTTTTTTCTTATCAAATCCCACGTAAACGCCAAAACCAACTGGTAATAGATCACACTAACAAGTATTGCCTTTTTTAGCCAAAGCCTGATGTAGATTATTACTGTTAGAGCTCCACTGTCGTCCAAAAACTATTAAAAACACATTATTGACCCACAGTGTTGTACTGGGTGACATGTTCCTTCATTACAGTGAAGGAGGTTTATTCGATCCCACATACACCGTCCTGCTGCCAGAAATACTCACTAGAGCCCGAATGTGTATTTATTTCGCGGCTGAAAATAGTTCTTAAGAAATAATGCATTATTTACTCTAATTTGAAACACTTCTAAAAGCAACAGTGCCCAGCTGTTTTTGGAAATGAAACTATATATTTGTGAGTTTTCAGTAGGAGCCAGTGGGAGCGGGCTAAGTGCCACACACAGGTTAGTCAGAAAGTAACTGAGAGAGAGTAATTGTTATTGGATTTGTTGAGTAAATAAGAATAAGAACAAGGGAAAAGAGGCAACCCTATCTTTTGAGTGAAATTGAATCATTCGTACAGAGACGCTTTGGAGATAATAAAATATGATCTTCAGGGAATGTTTTTTTTGTAAATAATTTGCTGTTGTAACACAAGATTGTGTCTCAAAAAAGTAAACTTTCCAAGGATGAACATAAACATCCTTGTTTTTAGCTTGACCCCCGTGCAGTTTTGAGTTCAGCTGAAAGGTTTTATGAGGGTTCATGAGTCACAGAACTTTCTCAACCCCTACAGGAGTTTTAAATTGAGTTTCTGTTTAGGTTTTCTACAGGAAAACTCTATCTAGGAGAATGTTCGCCCAAATTTCAAAGAGTATTAATAATAAAAGTAGTAATCAGTGTATCTAGCCATGCAGAAGGTTTTGGTTTAGATTTGTCCAGGTTTTCAGATATCTGACTCTGGGATTTTCTGCTTCCACCCCAAAACAATGAAGGTTTGTTTATGCTCGTTTACAACATTGAAAATTACACTGGAAAATTTCAACAGCAATTCCAGAAACCTTTCCAGAAACAATGGTCTGGTTGGATAATCCACTTCTTCTTTTCATAGGAACAACTTCATTGGTGGGAAGAAGTTCTAAAGAGAACTGTTCACTCTGAGGTGGATCATCGATGCCCGATAATTACACTGAATTGGCATTTCTATTTCACTTTATTATTCAGTCTGATATCTGGACCATGTTAGTTTTTTTCTGTTTATTTTGCCCTGACAATTCAGTAGCAACCTTTTCACTCATCACAGAAGCTGTAGTTATTGTTTTGTGGTGATCGAAGAAATATGCAAATTTGAGAGATGTTTTTTCTCTACATTCATTCATAACCAGCTACAGCTGTGTTGATCTCAACCACACGTTTCTCAATTTTTGCATCATTTTCTGTCAATATTTTTCGGGCTCTCGAGGGGAATGTTCCTGCTCTCAGTCCCACCGACAATGCTATTATTGGCTTGGTGGGTCTCCAACATTTTTAACCACAACAGACTAATTGAATGACAAATTAAAAAAAAGATTTGAGCATCAATTTCGAAGTCTGGAACCATGCTTGGATTGTAAATTATGAATAAAAAAAGTTCTGTGAAAGGTCCAGTGTGTATGATTTATGGAGATATATTTATAAAATAAGGAAGAAACCATGTCTTCACAATAGTCACCTGAAAATAAGAATCATTATGTTTGAGTCTACCATGGGTGTCATGCCTGACATTCAAACATCATACAAACAATGCACATTTCTCCACTAATGGTCAAATTCGCAGAGCAGAATCTGACACAGCTACAACAATACATCCTGCATTTTGACATAAAGGCATACCTTTTGACTTTTTCCCAAATAAAAACTCTCCTATGGGCCTTTCTTGAGGCAGACATTTTGACGTGCCATAGCAAGTAAAGCACAGGTGTAATTGATATCATTAATTGTAGCTGCATTCCTTTCTCATGTGTCTGATCTAGGGCCCTGGTTTAGTTCATGTTGACTCATTGAAAGGGCTTACTGGTATACATAACGGAACAAAGCCCCCATTAATTTAAGTCTGTTACTATTACCATTGAAATGCCCTCTCAGATATCACTAAAGGGGAGGCAGTGGAGGAGCCAGGTTTAGGGAATGTGGTCTAATCAGAAAAGCTAACTACAGTTCATGACAACTCCTTCAGTACACTGAAAATCACAGTTTGATAATATACAACAGTGTGTAAGTATCTGAGCAGGAACTTGGCTTCAAATTAAAGTCAGAACATTAAACACACCAAAATGGGGTTGAAGAGTTTTCATGTGATGGCAGCAGTATATACAGTATGTACAGTATTGTAAATAAACATTTTATATGGAGGTAATTCAAGAACAATATTTGTTTGAGGTATATGCTGGTCCCCTCAGATGCCAGTTCTGACTTGGAGCCAATATAATGTACAGTACAAACTGAAATCTTAGTGAATACTAATGGTTGTTTTGGGGGAAGGGTCTACTTTGGATGTAAGTTGTGTTAAATTTAATATGTTGTCCCCATATTTCATCTCGTCAATATGAGTTATATTAAGCAGGAAAAGCTCTTCCTGAGTTATACATGCATGGGAGTGCTTGTTATTCCCCAGGAGACAAATCCCTGAAAAGGCCAGACAACACAACTTATACAACTTCCTGCACAGTTTCAATGAGGCAACATCACCTCTTGAAGTTCATACCATGACTGCAGGCGGCTGGAGGTAACACAGAAGTTAGCTTGAATTACCTGAGCTCGGACTCGATCAGAGGCAGGTCACACAGAATGATGTGGCTGACGGATGGTCTGGGGGAAACTGTTGTATTTTTGTGAGTGAAAAAATAATCTTTTTCCCGCTAGGTTTTATTTGGCCAAGTGGAGCACATGTTTCAGTTTGACTGTGACTTACTGTATTTACTACAGCTGTGGGGGAGAAATGACTTCAACAGTTAGTATTTTGAGCAATTTCATATTTTAAAGCCAATTACAGGAACAGAGAAGTACACGACTCCCTCACATCAAAGGCACGTCACCCTCCAACATTTGGATGCAATGAAATCCAGTGAGAACTTTCAGTTACAGGAGCAAATAGAAAAAAAAATTCCTGATATATGTTTTGTACTTGGAGCACCCCAAATAAGATTAAAATGTTTACAACAGCAATGAAAGTGGAACCAGTTTACCTCTGATATAAACAGATATTTCCGTCACATGCCACAGCAGTAAATGGCCTTCAACCAAAACGTGTACAAACCCACAGCAGAGAACTACACGATTTTCAGGGATAAAAAGACAGTTAATGAAAGCAACACTGGTGAGAAAACCAAACTGCATAATAACACATGGCATCCATTTGATCACAAAGTAAGATTCATCTACAGGAATTTTGACTGTGGCTTGGCATTTTCAAAGAAATCATTACAGCTATTTGTTTTTCCTATTGTAGCTTTCATGGGGTGATAATGGCAGGTTAGACCTAGGGCCAGCAGGAGTTAATGAACTCAAAATTGAAAGAAGTACAACTCTTTGCCAAATAGAGACTTAAAGCGAACAGAGGAGATGCTCAGCAAGACTAAATAATCCACTTCACCCATTATCTCCTCCTTTATGTGGTTTGTGGGCAGGTTTCTTGTATAATCTACGACTATCTCGTGTCAACTGTCTACGTGTTGGTGTTTTAGCTCAAATCAATGATTATTTGTGTTTTGCAGATTAAAAGGAAACCCCCCCCCCTCCATATTCCTGTCAACATCGTAGCGTGTTGGAGGATAATGGTGTTAGTGTATACGAGACATCTGTTGTTGGTAACAGCACTGACAAGATCTACAATAAACATGCCAAACTTTTACAACCCCCTCCCATGTCCAGCTGCAGCATGTTGGTGAGTTCAGACATCTTAGCAGGAAGATAGCAGGACGGAGGATGCAGCAGTGACTCTGAGGACCCAGACAGCCTGAACAACTGCAGTGAGCAGGTGTTTCTCCTCTTCCTGAGCAACTCTGAACTCTCCAAAGATGAATTATCACAATCCATTTTGGCTGTATTTTTTCATAATGAAATGATTACATTAAGACATTGGGCGTTACACTTTTTAATTGCATTATAAGATTTATGTTGGATTTGTCTGGTGGGGAGATGTGAGGTCATGAATATATCATTTTATAATAGAGACAGATGTACAAGTCAAATAAATGTACTTGTCGAGTCCTCGTATTCATTCATAATTCATGTGCATTTTGCTATTCACATCCATAAATATTTAAAACCTTTAAACCTAAATAATCATTAATAATTCAGTGAATTTATATAAGCTGCTAATTGAAAGCGATGACATTGTGTGTATACGCTGAAAAGAACAATTCAGTTCGTAATAAGTGCCTGTTGTCTATGACTTTTAAACAGTGTTAATAGATGGTCTAGAGTACAGTCCAGACAGACTGGTGCAGCTAACAGCGGCGCAGCTTTCTGATTGGCTCGCAGGAGTTCGAGGGGCTGGTACTGGAGGTGCAAAGGCTCCTTAATTTGGCAGTGTCGTCTCTAAATAGATCTTGGACGGCACCGTCTCTGCTATTGAAAAGAATGATGGTCATTCTGTGAGCGGGCTGGCGTGAGTTTGGTTGAACAAAGAGTCTTC